GGTCACAGAATGGAAAGCACAGGATTGTGGGATATCAAACCTGGTATTAAGATGCGTTTCGGTCGATCGGATCGCAAGTGGACGACTCTAAATACAGGTGTAAAAGTCTAAACGTTTTTTTCGACCACCACTTCCAGAGGCATTTGAAAACTCATTCGACCGGATTGCTTTCATGGTGTCTTTTTTTACAGTGTACAAAGGAGAAATATTTTCTTTGACTACCACAGCTTCATTTTTCTTCTAAATTTGGTTCGATTTATGTTGGAACAATTAAAAAACAATTTGCTAATTGGGGAAGAGCTATAAACATAATTCAAGAGGTATAATTCAAGAGATATAATATAAGATGTTAAGACCGAAAACAAGTCTTAACATCTTATACAGTTTTGCTTAAGTAACGTTAAATGTATTTTGTTGATAATATAAAACAGTTGAGCGCAGGATACATAACGTACTTCAGCGGGTGTTACAGTGTCCGCCCCTCTTACTGGATGCGTTGTATTACAAAAATAATTAGATTCAGAAATAGTTACTGTTGTATGCATTGCCCATAACACATTGCCTGCTAAAGTAGTGCTGGCCTTCATTTGTCCTTTATGGGAGCTTGTTCATTCATAAGCACAGCAGTTTGTATAACCTCTTGACGGACAGTCCTCGGCTTTCAGGTCAGAGACCATTAAACGACGTTTCAGAAAGGAGGTTAAGTGAAAACTCTGAGTATGTTCACCCTGAAATGAGGGAAACTCTGGTGTTTTCCCCCCAGGAAACAAGACTAAATAAATATGTCATTTTTCATGTAAGGGATAATGTATAGCGAGGCGGTTGTTATAGCGACTACAACACCGACAGGCTGATTATGACCCCGACGCGAAGCAGAGGGTTCTTGAATCAGCCTGAAGGGGTTGTATTCGCTATAACAACCGCTTCGCTATACATTATCCCGCTTATTACATGGCTACCTACCAAATAAATCAATAATTTGACACAAAATATTGATTTAAAAAGGAGTTTATTGATTTAAAAACGATTGTATTGCTTCCGCTAAAGAAAATAGTCTGTTCCGTCTCTGAACTGCGTCCATGGCAACGCTCTGTTTTTCATGGCAACGGTGTGTTATACATGGCAGCGTCTGTTAACAAGAAATAACAGACCGCGCATTCTACATTAGAATTCAACCAAGCCATGTAATAAATGTAGAGAATGCATTTTGATTTAAGAATCTTCAGATATTTTGACTGGAAACAACAAGCCAAACATACTAAGAAAATCACTTTTTTGCAGTGCAGAAGACCTACATTCATTCATTGCGCATTTTTTTATCCTGACAAAAATGGCATGTCCTTTTATACTCTGTAGCTAGATGAGGAGGACTTCATTCATTCGTAGGGAGCTGCCTTGGCCTTGGCTTTTGGCTTGCTAAGTTGGGGACATTTAATATTCAACTATATTATTTATCTGCCTTACTTAAAGGGGTGGTTCAGGATTTTGGACATCGGACCTAATTTCCATGTTAGCCTGGGTGTTATTTATCAGTGGAGACAGTTTTCCAAAAAAAATTATCCATAGTTGAATCAGTTCGCCGGTGCTAGGCTAGCGCGAGTCAACGGTAACTGCTAGCCTGCCATTAAAAACAGTTTTACCCACTCCACAGTACACCAAAAGCAAATAAATTATAACGCCAGACTATCGATGTAAATGTCTGTTGAGAGAATAATGTTAGAAATCAAACTACCGTTTCATTGCATTGCAATAGTTATACTTTGTTCCCTGTATTTATTAGCACAGTCTACAGCAGCGGCGGAGTGATATGTAGTTACCTAGGCAACCGAGAGAGGTAGTGAGAGAGAGAGAGAGAGGTATAGACAGGTAGTATAGGTAGTCCCGACCATAGATATCCATAATAAAGGCTAGATGTCTTACGGCGGAGTCTCTATCGTCATCACCGGCGGCCATCTTGTCACAGGCAAGCTTTCTGGTGGGCTCTGTGGTGCCAGATGTGAAATGAGTGATCAGCACGAACACAAATACTCTTATCTCGTTGAAATATTGACGGATTTACAAACGGTTTGGTTTCTTACAAACGTTATTAACGTGGCTATAATTCTGGAATATTATTTATTGATACACTTATTATTCATAAGTGTGCAGTGTCATAACTACATCTCTGACGTTTATAACAAACCAAACCGTTTGAAAATCGGTGGAAAATTGAGCAAGTTATGGTTATTTAAGTACATGCACCATTAAAAAACAATGTTACGAGTGAGCGAGCTGCCTGTGACAAGATGGCCGCCAGGTGCAGACGTCAACCTCCACTGGCCAGCAGCGCGGACGAGACATCTAGCCTTTATTATGGATATCTATGGTCCCGACTGTAGTGCGCTTCGGTTCTGTGTTAACTTTTCGGCGCAGTACTACTAACCGGAGCAAAGTATAATTCCGCCGCTGCTGAGAAACTATAGTTCCTGTAAATGTAATGCGATCATTGAGATGCAAGAGTACTTTGATTTCTAACATTATTCTCTCAACAGACATTTACATCGATAGTCTGGCGTTATAATTTATTTGCTTTTGGTGTACTGTGGAGTGGGTAAAACTGTTTTTAATGGCAGGCTAGCAGTTACCGTTGACTCGCGCTAGCCTAGCACCGGCGAACTATGCAACTGGAACGACTGGATGAACTTTTTTTTTTTTAAACGGTCTCCACTGATAAATAACACCCAGGCTAACTTGGAAATTAGGTCCGATGTCCAAAATCCTGAACCACCCCTTTAAGGTGGACGATGACGCAATTTTCTTCTAGAAACAAACTTTGTTGTATTATTTTCATGTTATCACTGTGAAGCTGCTTTGATACAATCTCTAGGCCTATTGTAAAAAGCACTATATAAATAAAGGTGACTTGACTTGAGGTACATTTACATCGGGAGAGGATTTTTCTTCTTTTGCCAAATACCTTTATTTGAGTGGTACCATTTCAAATGGTAGTTTATATAACATCGAGGATGCAGAGCACATTAGTAAGGCCGAAGTACGCAGAGCGGGAAGGAGAGTGTGCCTCGCTCTCATGCTCTTCCTGAGAGTTTCTGTTGTTTCTTGAACAATCCCGCGAGAGCCATTTAAGAGGAGTTTCACAGGATTGCAGGTCAGTGGTGTATGTATGTAGCCATCGCTTTAAATGAGGCTAATCTGATAAATGGCGTTCACTTGATAACACATGGCTGCGACCTCTGGAAGTTAACCTAATCATTTCCATTTCCTTTAAGATCTCCAATGTGGTTGTTGGATGACATGCATATTCCCAATATCTCTCCTTCCGGAAATGAAACAGATTACTGTATGGAAGGATGTCAGATGGGTAGAGGTATATGCCCTTAAAGGGATAGTTCACCCAAAAATGAAAATTCTGTCAGTAACGTTAATTACTCGCCCTCATGTTGTTCCAACCCCGTAAGACTTTCGTTCATCTTCGGAACACAAATTAAGATATTTTTGATGAAATCTGAGAGCTGGATCACTCCTCCATAGGCTTCTTAAGGGATCGAAACTTGGCGGCCGAGAAAAGTTATGAAAGACATCGTTAAAACAGTCCGAGTGACGACAGTGACTCAATCTTAAGTTTATCAAGCGACGAGAATACTTTTTGTGCGCAAAAAACAAACAAAAATAACGACTTTATTCAACTATTCACTTCCTTCTCTGTACGGCCGTGATATTTCACGTAGTGAAACTACGCAAAGCTTCTAGGTTGTACGTCACGCATCACACACACATGACCAGCGTCGGCCAATAGTGAGCCTACGTGTGACGTGCAACCTAGAAATCTTGCGTAGTTTCACTACGTGAAATATCACGGCCGTACAGAGAAGGAAATGAATAGTTGAATAAAGTCGTTATTTTTGTTTGTTTTTTTGCGCACAAAAAGTATTCTCGTCGCTTGATAAACTTAAGATTGAGCCACTGTAGTCACTCAGACTATTTTAACAATGTCTTTTATAACTTTTCTGCGCCGGCCAGTTTCGACCCCTTAAGAAGCCTATATGGAGGAGTGATCCAGCTCTCAGATTTAATCAAAAATATCTTAATTTGTGTTCTGAAGATGAACGAAAGTCTTACTGGGTTGGAACAACATGAGGGCGAGTGATTACTGACAGAATCTTAATTTTTGGGTGAACTAACCCTTTAACCACCTGTTAGGCCTACACACAAATTATTCACTATTTTTTTGGTGCACTATTTATTTATTTCCTACGAATACAAAAGTAACAGTAACAGCCCTTTTACACCTATAAAGATAACTATATTAGCCTGGAGGACATTTAATTATGTGAAAAGAGCATTAGACTATGGAAAAAGCTACTGCACATTTTAACAGACACTGAATGATATTTATTTAATATGTCAAATGTTTGTAAAGTCAGACTCAATCAGATCAACGTGTGATCGTCAACGAGTGGATTTCTGAGCTGAGTGAGTGAGTGGAGGCGGGGCTCATTTGCATATTCATAGAACCGCGTATACTAAATGAGGCAAGGGTGTCGAGTTACATTCAAGCTATTTTAAGGAATGAATAATAATTTTTTCATTTTAGTGATCAAAAATGAGTTTTAAGGGAAAACAAATATTGACTGCAGGGGGACTTTAACCCTCCTTATTGAAACGGGCCATGATCAAACCACAGCATCAACCAGCTCAACATCAGGTAAGCACCTAAATAACTCATGCTGAAATAATTCAATCATTATTTTCAACTTACTGATAACATGAACAAGTAGTTGGCTCACATGGGACAGGCGTGGAGTTCACAGAACACTTCCACAGGAAATTCCTGCTTGGATAAGCAAAATAATATATCTTTGTTCCTCAAAGTTAGAAATAATGATATCAGCCCTTACGTTTCCTCCTTTCCGATTTCTTTTTTTTAAATCCTTTTGTAATCCACTTCAGAGCAAATGCATAAATATTGAGACAAGAAACCTCAACATGCCAACAAACAACCGTTTCTGTTAATAAAACATGCTTTAATGTAGCAATACATGGAATATAAAACTATATAAAAGCTATATTACATCAAACAATTTTTAATATTTCACCTTAAAATTCTGTACATTTAGAAGACATTTACAGTTCAACAATTATTCACAAAACCCCTTTGTTAAAAAATATATTCTTACAGTATTAACAAAGTGACACTTTCAGAGTGATATAAATAGTGATATAAAAAAAAAAGATAATAGCATAATTTAAAATGATAATAGATAAATGAGCTTATTGTACATGCAATCAGTGAGATAAAGTATGATTCTAAACACATGTTGCATTCTGTTCTCCCTGGCAAACTGAAGACAGTTTCTGGAGGAATGTCTTCATCCTCTCAAAGAAAACCATGGAGTTGGTGAGTTCCTGTTCACAGTAGTATGTTTTCCCTATACACTTCTGTAGAAACAGTCCAAACACAAACTCATTAGCAGCATGACCATCATTTATTGTTATACATATCAACATCATTCACAATTGAAGATTCGGATCCTTCCCGATTCATGACTGTGAACTTAAATTGGAATTACAGGACAATTCGTTTAAAAAAATCAGCCCACTAGAAATTAAGTTGTGGAACAAACATTGAATCAATTTGAACTAATTGCGCACAACTTTCTATATATTATTTAGCAATAATATTCCACACAAGTGTACTAATAATTAATAGATTATATATATATATATATATATATATTTTTTTTTAAGTATTACTTCACCCAAAGAATTGACTCACCCTCACAGCCAAACACAATTGGAGTTAGAATAAAAAATATCCTGGCTTTCCAAGCTGTATATGGGAGTAAATGTGGGATGAAGCCCATAAAAGTGCATACATCCATCATGAAAGTAATCCATACAACTCCAGGGGGTTATTAAAGGCCTTCTGAGGCGAAGCCATGCGTTTGTGTAAGAAAAATATACATTTATATAACTTAATAAACTATAATCACTGGCTTACGGCAACGTTCAAGAGAGAGTTGCGTTCCGGCGGAAGAGTGACCTCTGACCCGACGCATTAGCCAGGATATTTATGTTATAACTCTGACTGTGTTCGTCGGAAAGAAGAAAGTCATACACACCTAGGATGGCTTGAGGGCGAGTAAATCATTGGGCTAATTTAAAATTTTTGGGTGACCTGTTATTTTAAATTGCAAATTTCTGTAGTGTCATTTCAAAGGTTGATTATTAATATAATCTAATGTTTCTAGAAATACTCCATATATTGTGTGTAGACATGTTTATATGGAAGTTTGTTTCCACCACAGAATGAAAAATAATAAAGGTAATTGCGACTTTTTATCTCACAATTCTGACTTTTTTTCTCAGAATTGCGAGATATAAAGTCAGAATTGCGTGATATAAAGTCAGAATTGCGTGATATAAAATCGCAATTGCGTGTTATAAAGTCAGAGTTGCGAGATATAAAGTCAGAATTGCGAGATATAAAGTCAGAATATATTGATATAAAGTCGCAATTGCGTGTTGTAAAGTCAGAATTGCGTGAAATAAAGTCGCAATTGCGTGTTATAAAGTCAGAATATATTGATAAAAAGTCGCAATTGCAGGTTATAAAGTCAGAGTTGCGAGATATAAAGTCAGAATACATTGATAAAAAGTCGCAATTGCAGGTTATAAAGTCAAGAGTTGTGAGATATAAAGTCAGAATTGCGAGATATAAAGTCGGAATTGCGTGAAATAAAGTCGCAATTACGTGTTATAAAGTCAGAATTTATTGATATAAAATCGCAATTGCGTGTTATAAAGTCAGAGTTGCGAGATATAAAGTCAGAATTGCGAGATATAAAGTCAGAATATATTGATATAAAGTCGCAATTGCGTGTTGTAAAGTCAGAATTGCGTGAAATAAAGTCGCAATTGCGTGTTATAAAGTCAGAATATATTGATAAAAAGTCGCAATTGCAGGTTATAAAGTCAGAGTTGCGAGATATAAAGTCAGAATACATTGATAAAAAGTCGCAATTGCAGGTTATAAAGTCAAGAGTTGTGAGATATAAAGTCAGAATTGCGAGATATAAAGTCGGAATTGCGTGAAATAAAGTCGCAATTACGTGTTATAAAGTCAGAATTTATTGATATAAAGTCACAATTGCAGGTTATAAAGTCAGAATTGATTGATATAAAGTCGCAATTGCGTGTTATAAAGTCAGAATTGCGAGATATAAAGTCAGTCTTTTTCCCCCTTAGAATTGGCCTGATAACTCACAATTGCGAGTTTATATCTCACAATTCTGAGAAAAGATGTCAGAATTTCGAGATATAGACTCGCAATTGCGAGATATGAAGTCAGAATTGTGAGATAAAAAGTCTCAATTCTGTCTTTTTTTCTCGCAATTGCGACTTTATTTCTCAGAATTGCGACTTTATTTCTCACAATTCTGACTTCATATCTCGCAATTGTGAGATAAAAAGTCGCAATTATTATTATTTTTTTATTCAGTGGCGGAAACAAGCTTCCATATGTTTATGAGTCATTTATGCTGCAAAAAAAAAAAAAAATTATTTTAAAAAATGAGTTACAATTCTGCTGCCTCGATATTTAGTTAACTCTGAATGATGCACAACCCCGACACACACACACACATTGTGGTCATCGCTTTGACTTGCAGTTCTTATGCAGACTTACATAATAGTCTAAAGATTCCTCTATCATGGGCTGGTGTTTGTTAGAATTTGTTGGGTCTTCTTCATGCAAGAGAACGTTCATCTCCATCAGAAAACAGTCGAGAAGCTTATATGTGCATTCCTGCAAAACAAACAGAATGACACTGGATTGGGTTTATGCAGGACTCCATGCCAGTGTTACTAAACTCATTTGTTTGCTTACATTTCGTCCACATGTTTTCATTTCCTTTACTTATGTAAGTGAACTTACATTGATATTCTCAGTATTTGGAGTGTACAAGGTTGCATCAGATTTCTGGAAAAGATGATGTTTGGAAATTAGGATTATGAATGATAAAGCCAGATGGTTTATATATATATATATATATATATATATATATATATATATATATATATAAGCAGGTAAAAGGCTGCACAAAACAAAGGTATTGTGACACAAAACTAAGATAAATCGACTGTGCAGTTTCTCCTTAAGTTGCACAATCCATTAAAATATCATATTTCACGCTTACGTTGAATAAATGCTCCGTCTTTTCTAGTGCGTTCTGGAGGTCTCGCAGCGCCTGCATTGCATGACCTTCAGCCATGGGCAATAGAGCACTTAGACAGCTGAACATACACAACACACATAAACAGAATCGTTATATGACATCAGTTAGAAATGCTCAATAATCCTGCAATCACAAGCCATTATAATTGCTTAACCACCATTACACACGACACACATGCAATGCCACGTGCTGGGATCTCAACTAACGAGTAACAGACATTTAGCCGTTTACCACTTTCATTACCCTTTATTCCCCACCCCTGTGTTTCACTGCGTTCTGTTGCTCTTTTGAACATAAAGCTTATGTTTATGCACAAACCGTGACACAATAATGCAGCTTATGGCTCTGTTCCTAAACCTAGTGCGCTGCTTTGCTGTCATCCAAGAGCACTTTTAATCGACTGATTCGAAACACTTAAAAGTTGATGTTTTTTAATTCAGTTTCTTCTGCTCACCAAGTCTGCATTTATTTAACCAAAAATAGTGAAAATGGAAATATTATTACAATTCATAATAACTGTTTTCTATGTGAATATATTGTCAAATGTAATTTATTCCTGTGATCAAAGCTGAATTTTCAGCATCATTACTCCAGTGTTCAGTGTCACATGATCCTTCAGAAATCACTCTAATATGCTGATGTGATGCTCAATAAACATTTATGATTATTATCAGTGATGAAATACATCTGATTTCCATAGAGGCTGGTCATATCATGTTACTAAACTAATAACACAGCCCTCTAATAAGCAGAAAATATCCACGGCACACAGATGTTCACCAGAATAGTGCATTGTAATCAGATACTTTCTTGGTATTTTAATGAATTATGACTATTAATAATCGACATTTCACTTTTTTCAGTAAGCCTAATGCATTGTATGTGCACTTTGTGGCCAGAAGAAGGTATTTAAACTTTCAGAAGAAAAACTTCAATAGAACTTTAAAGGCACTTCATATATGGATCATTTCATGGATTTAGTCCAAAAAAGTCATTTTGTTTTAATGAATTTTTAGGTTTTTAATTCATTTTTATATCAATTAAACAGCTCGTAAACATACTTTATCACCAACATTTTTTAAATAACCCAAAACATGAAAGTATTATGCAATAATTTAAGACATTTCTCCTTTATATAAAACCTTTAACTCTTTCCCCGCCAGCGTTTTTGAACATTTTCACAAAACAAAATGGCCGCTGGAATATTTTCTTGCATGAATATCTGAACATGCAATATATCAAAGGAAAGAACAGAGCAAAACAAAACAACCCGTTTTATTCTAGCTTCGTGCATTCTTTTTTATCAACACTTAAATGTTTGTAAGTTTCATAAATAGAAGAAAAAGCTGAGAAAATCATGTTTTTGTTAGTCTACAATCGCTTGTTTCTGCTTCTTCTTCTCCTGTGTTTTGATCAGGAGGTTCAGTGGTCTTTCAGAAGATGTGTAATAGCGCCCCCTACCGTATAACTGTGAAAACACAGATTGCCGGAAATTTCCATCAATGGCGGGGAAAGAGTTAAAAGTGAGTCAAGTTTTATACAACTTTTTTTTCATTACCATTGTGATGATAGAACTGAAATCTAAATCTGATATCTAGGTCACAATTCTCCACCCTTTCCATTGTAAGAAAATTGAAAAGGCCAAACAACTTGGTGCCAATTGCAGACAGTAGTGTGGTTTGCTCCCGGCACGGCGAGGCAGAGATTGCTCTTGTAGATTCATATTACAAGTCGAGTGGGAATTTGATGAAGACGTGCACACTTAGCTAATGCACTCTGTATTTGGGGCGGCACCAGATAAAGGGCCATTTAAACTGGACTTCAGAAATCACAGATGATTCAACGCATCTAGTGCGTCACATTGCTCACATCACATGGTGATGTTGTCACGAGTTTATAATGGTTGAGATACAGCCCATAAAGAGTCAAAAGTCCAATTAGACAAATGTCATATGTATATATATATATAAAATGAGGGTAGATCTGAACTGTGTTCTCAGGTTTTTTTCTTTCATAAACATCAGGTCGGGGAAAGTTGTCATGTGTTATATATTATTATGTTATACAAATGACTCAGCACAACTTCTCATGGCCACAACGACTGGTTTTCAATCAATTTTGCTGTTTCAAGAATTGTTCTCGCGCATACGTCGTGAACTCACTCAGAGGCCCACTCGTAAGAAAATTAATTGTTATTAAAAGTCGTTATTTTTGGGGGGTTTTTGCACACAAAAAGTATTCTCGTAATATAATTTTCCTTTTTGGGTGAACTATCCCTTTAAATTATCAACATGACCTGTTATTGGGGCGTATTGTCACAAAAGGTGTTAAATTTCGTATTTATTTCCCAGTGCAATAATAATGATTTTTCGGCGTTGTAATAAAATAAAGATTATTGGGAGAATGTTTTAGAAGAAAACACTATATCAGTCAAAAATGCACATTTAATTCAATGTGTTAACTGTCATTTCTTTGTGCAATTTCTAAGTGAAAATTGTTTCTACACTGATTTTTTTTTTTCCCTCGCACAACTGGTTTCTGCAACCCACTCTATGGTTTGTGCAAGATTTACACATAATTAGCAAAAGAAATAAGCAGTCTAATTTCTTAGATATACCTCAGAATTAAGATAGAATTCCAAACCTCTGAGTTCAAAAGGCATTCCATGTGATTCTCAAAGCACCAAGGGTTACAAACACATCTTCCAGTTCTCTGTAAGAAATCACACACTTTTTTTAATACTCGGAACAGAAGCATTAAAACTCCCACAGATAGAGAAGTGATTCTGTCATTTGTTGGAAAGAATAACACTTGCTGGAAACAAAGTGCACAGTATGTGGAAACACAAATGCTGAACTACTGTAAATAAATACACAAGGGTATCATTAATTGAGAAACACTGGCAAAGCAATACAGTTTAGTGTTTACCGAGTGAACATGCATGTTTCTGGCAAGCCATTTATTCCTTAAAGCTATATAGTATGAAGAATGTTCAGCAAACCAAATGATTCAGTTGAATAAATGGAAAAAAACTAATAAATTTTACCGAACAATGACTTTGTTTTTGATGACGCGATCAAATGCCAACCAGCGTAGAGTGAGAGGCGAGCACGTTATATATCGTTATCATGAAATCAAATTTAGCACTTTTCAATGCAATTTTTTTTTTTTTTTAGGCATTGAAAGTACGTTACATTATTTCAGCAGTTAGTTACAGGCCTAATATAGGCTATTGAAGAGGGGGGGGCTCAAAGATGGCAAAATACTAATATTTTTAGTTTCATATTTTTTTTATTTTACGTTATATTGCGCGTTTTAGGTATAATGTCAGCTGGAATGTTAAAAATAAATATTTTTTTAAATTGTAGTTTTTTCTTTAAAAAGCACATTGACTATTAAATTTATGCAATGGTGAAAAATTGGCGAAATAAATGGGAAAAAATGCACACAAAAAAACTTTCATGCAAGTGTTTCCTTTCGATGCATCACTAGTTAATTATTAGTAATCGGTATCAATTTCAGTTTCACTTATAACTTTTCATTCCATACTAGTACTTACATATTAGATATTACTACTTATAGTATTCTCACTGGTAACAAAGTAAATTTTTGCCATTGAATTGTAGTTTAGATATCAACAATTTGCTTCCGATTTTCTTTTTACCAGTAACTATTCATTAAGTACTTATATTTGTTATAATATCTTCATTCAAATGGATTTTGTTAACCGTTCCAGTTTTCCTAGTACGAATAAAGACACTAATCCCTACAATAAGTAACATTTAAAAGCTTAGTAAAAAGTCAAATGTATCAGTAAAGTAAAAATTAGTCAAATTAAAAATGATACTAGTAACTATTGGATTACTTACTACTAGTAACATAATAGCCTATATATGCTTTAGTTTAAAAGAATGTTAGATATTAAAATGGCTTGCCATAAAGACTCACAGAAATGAATAGTGAGCAATATTTCAAGATCAACAAGCAATGTGAAGTGCGCGTGCACCTGCAAGCCTGATCGAGTCATTTCAGGTGAATATTGACATGCAAACCTTAAAGTACGTTTTCATCGTTGTATTTAACGCTTTAGTGCACAATGTGCGCACTGTAATCTGATGTCTATATATAACATAATATAATAGCAAAAACGCAGTAGCGTATATATAAAGTAAAATGCCCAAAATGTATGCTGTAAAATAGATTTATAACATATTTAATAGATTTTAGCCTTCTTTGTACATATTAAAATTATTTTTTAAATAGATAGCAGATATATCCTAAATACATTTCAGCAAGAATAGAATGTCTATAAATGTCCAATTGAAAATGTCTCCCTGCATATTTTATATACGTTGAAATGGGACGTTTTACAAGCATGCTGTTCGACTTCGACATATTTACGTGGTTCAAATATATTTTGTAGATCATCTGACATTTCACTCACAACGGGTCATACATGATCACCATTAATGCATTCAACACATTAATTTGCCAATCTCTGAGCGACATTAAAGTTCACCGCCAGTGCTCATTTCCTACCCTTGCTTTTAGTTTTGGTGGCCTATTCCAAAATCCTGCGATGAAGGCGATGAAAAGGGTCATTAAAATCATCGAAACGAGCTTGTTGGTAGGCCAACCACAACAGTTGCGTGAAGTTCACATGATCTCGCTATGTAAAAGTCCTGGTGGTATGTCATGGATGTGTAGAAAATCCTATTGATTACTCCAGTTGGATATTAATCCATGAGTGCACACTGAAGGCTTGTTCCTCCGAGTGCGCACTGAGCAAATCTGCAACTGAAAACACTCAGTGTTTCACTCACTCACACACACACACACACACGCCCGCCCATTGCAGCCTGTGTTGACGGAGCTCTTTCACTTTAAGAACATGCGTGTTTTCTGTAGCAAATGCAACGCGAGTCCTCTTCCTTATATGTAACTCAGCAACAGGTTTGTTTGGGTGTTAAACATACATAATAATCTCAGATACATAAAGAAACAAGCTAATGTACGCGAATCGCTGTTGGAAGCAGAGGTTTAAAGTCCACTGACATAACAAGACCTCGAGATACGGTTGTTTAAGGACTTGCAATTAAGTCACATATGAGTTGTTAAATATGTAATTTGTGAAAGAAATGAATAGCAGTTTGGAGAAATACGATTAAAAAGATTTTCCACTCACATGAGATGAAGACTCCAGTCATTAATCTTGAACTTGAAGAAAATCTGTTTTATTTTATGTAGAGCTGTTCGCCCCCTTATGGGCCATGTTGACATCACATGACCACGTGATGAGCAATTTACTACTAACTAATAACCATAAAATTAAGTTATTTAGTCAGTGCTGCAAGCGCTTTAGAAAACCTAAACATAGTTAGCAAACAATAGGCCTATAATAAACACACCACAGAGGTAATTGAAAAATGTTCAAACAAGCAGCCAGCGGACAGCACAAACCACAGACTGCATTTAAAGGGTTAGCTCACCCAAAAATGAAAATGATGTCATTAATGACTCACCCTCGTGTCGTTCCAAGCCCGTAAGACCTCCGTTTCTTCGGAATACAGTTTAAGATATTTTAGATTTAGTCCGAGAGCTTTCTGTCCTCCATTGAAAATGTATGTACGGTATACTGTCCTTGTCCAGAAAGGAGATAAAGACATCATCAAAGTAGTCCATGTGACATCAGTGGGTTAGTTAGAATGTTTTGAAGCATCGAAAATACATTTTGGTCCAAAAATCACAAAAACTACGACTTTATTCAGCATTGTATTGTCTTCCGGTTCTGTTGTGGATCCGCGTTCAGTGCCGCCGCTGACGTAAGACGCTGCTGACATGTGTCTGGTGTGTGTGTGTGTGTGTGTATTCTGGTTCTGTTGTGGATCCGCGTTCAGTGCCGCCGCTGACGTAAGACGCTGCTGACGTGTGTCTGGTGTGTGTGTGTGTGTGTGTGTGTGTGTGTGTCTGGTGCGCCCGAGCTTCGTTTACAGTCTGAGGGAGACGCACGCTGGAAACAAAACAATCTTGACAAACATGTCTAAGGATTTCCACACAGAGGAAGACTTGCATTTTTTTGCCCAGCCATATTTATTTGAACCCGAATACACGGACGCACCAGACACATGTCAGCAGCGTCTTACGTCAGCAGCGGCACTGAACGCGGATCCACAACAGAACCGGAAGACAATACAATGCTGAATAAAGTCGTCGTTTTTGTGATTTTTGGACCAAAATGTATTTTCGATGCTTCAAAACATTGTATCTAACCCACTGATGTCACATGGACTACTTTGATGATGTCTTTATTTCTTTTCTGGACAAGGACAGTATACCGTACATACATTTTCAATGGAGGGACAGAAAGCTCTCGGACTAAATCTAAAATATCTTAAACTGTGTTCCGAAGATGAACGGAGGTCTTACGGGCTTGGAACAACATGAGGGCGAGTCATTAATGACATCATTTTCATTTTTGGGTGAACTAACCCTTTAAGAGTGTCTATTAGGGTTGTGTGTGGGTTTATGAGAAAAACAGTGAAAGAAACAGCTTTGGTGTGAAACGGCAGGAGTTAGTAAACTAACTTAATACTGGGACCTATTGGCGTGAATGCATTAAATCCAAAACAGTGAGTAGCCTAGGCCTACTATTAATGCATTACAAAGTAAACCACTTAGTGTGAAATTCATAAATATTTGACTATATTTGAATAAAGCAAAAGTTCACATTTTCAGCACATCACTTTCACGAACCCTTGCACTGTTCCTGTACATCCTTAAGATACAATTTCCTTTGAAATAACTTATAAATCTAGTGTAGGTGTCCTAAGAGCTGAGAAGTTTAGTCTGGTCAGCATTATTGTTATTATTATATTTAAAAGGCATAAAAAATCCCATTGAAAGAAATACACAAAACAACTGACTTTTAAAAACATTTCTTCAGATATATTTGCAATTCAAAAATGTCAGAAATTGCACTACAATTATGCACACATATCAACGCAGTCTCCATTTCATTAGGCAGAAAACCTTAATTAGTAAAAGGCCAAATATCTGACGCTTGTGACCGCAACGCTCGCGTGTTTTTCTCTTTTCTTCGACGACTCCACGGCTCCGTCTATATCTGAGTTTCTGACTCGTCTACAGCTTTTTATTGGGTCTTTCCACTCGCTCCCAAGCTCAGATTTGAGACTGAATCCTCAACCTCAGGATTGTCTTCCTCTTCATCGTCATCATCTTCCTCCTCCTCTTCATCATCATCGTCATCATCGTAGTCATCATCATCTTCATTATCCTCCTCGTCTCGGTATCCCCCTCCAGATTCCAGATTTTTCCAGTAGGAGCTGTATCCGGACGCACCGTAATCGTCTTCGCCGGTCTGCCGGCCAAATTTATGGGTTCGGGCTGCAAGACAAAATCATCCGGTTAACACCAGACACTCAACGGCCTCTCCAAACTACCACTAGGCGCTGTATTAGAGTAATGTTTTTCATATAAAAAAAAAAAAAATAGATTGAGAACTATATTATATTTTAAAGGTGCTCTATGTAACTTTTAGCAGCCTCTAGTGGTGATGTTTCAGATTGCAACCAAATTTTACAAGAGCGCTCATGCTCGAACTCATAGACAATACCGTCTATTACGCAAATATCTCGGCGAATACTAGACGGATTCGGCGAGCACCGAGCTCGTTGGGACCATCTAGTCGAGCTGAAAAGAACCATATAAGTTCCATTGTTTTTGGTGGTGTTTTCGCGGAGATATTAGCAGAAAACCATCGGGCGCGCTGCAAAATTGCGGACGCCGGTGACGTCACGATCTCAGAAGAAAATCGCTCGTATCTCTGGAACGCAAAGACCCAGAGAGCTCAAATTCGGGGGAGGAGGTCCCAGGGGAACCCTTGCCCGAACGCTAGAGTGGCGGGCCTCGGGGATGCCCCCTACCGGATCGGCGTTCGCTGGGACCCCCGATTTCGAACGGCTATAACTCGGGGAGCCGGGCGAGTTGGACCTCGGGGGTGGACTCGTTCGAAAGGCCCCGTCCAGCACTACGAACGATTAGAGTCTTGGGAATATTGATCATAGATTGACTGAGATATAAGCCGAAAAACGTGCGCCTTTAACCGGACGTAACTCCCTGACCGTCTACAATAGACTGTATATAAGGAGAGAGGCTCGGGAGCACGCATGCACGTCACATCCGTTGGATTTCGCGGTAAATCCGACCCGGAGACTTCACATAGAAATAGGAATACTGGCCTTCAGAGGTAATAGCAAAACTCAACAAGTGGATCATTTTAATGTGTGATTACAACCCCTTCACACACAGGCAATTAAAAAAGGATTCATTTTAGTAGAAGTTACATAGAGCACCTTTAATGATTTTATTTTGATTAAGCTTCATCCTTCCCTCGCACTTTGTAACACATAAAAATGACCCGAAGCCCAAAAATTATCGTTATTTTTTGTCCAGAAAGCTTATTTTATTTCATTTCAATTTTTGGGAGATTTTTTATTTATTTACCTTTAAATTACTAGATTTGATCAATAAACAGAGTCATTTAAGCAAATTCCTTTAACTTAAATTCAAAATAATACAATTTCATGCATAACCCTTTTAATTCAGCTCAAAACATCTTACATTGGGTGTCTTTGCTGACCTCCAGTGGGATTTTTTTTTTATATAACATGATATTTCATGACTCTATATGGAGCAAATGAGCCGTTCCTCTAAGTCCTAAACTCAGACCTATTCAGTATGCATTCAGATGTACACATTATAAAAGCATTTTTAGTTTGAATTGAGCATTTTTAGGTTTTTCTATGTGTACAGAAGCATTCCATTCATTCCTAAGGGGGTCAAATTGGATGTTACTTTTTTCAATTTAAAGCACAAAACTCGTCAAACCATTTTTTTGTGTGTGTATTCGTGGTTCAAGTGCGACCTAGGGTCTTGGACCCCTCTGATGAACACTCAATTTAAAAAAAAAAAAAAAGGGTCAAAATGACCCGAGGGAAGGATGAGTGTGTTACCCTACACTATACTAAATAACACGTCTCAATATGGATGTCTCAAAATACAGTTAAAGCCAAAGCGACTATAACAGTAATGTTAGACGTCACTCACTGGACATGCTGAGGTCTTTGGTCTCCTGAGTTTCATGTCCACACTTTGGGCACGGAGGAGCCTTGCCTTTCTCCTGCTTGAACACTTTGCTTCGAGCGTGATCATCACAGAAACAAGCCTAGAACGACAGGATTTCAATTGTAGTTTGTCCAAACAAAATATGCATAGAAGCAAATCGGACAGATGAAAATCCTAACCTTGCACCGGAGACAAGAGTGCTGTCCAAGACGATTGCAAGATAAACCTGAAATTGGGGCAAATATCATTAAAGGTTACAAAAAGTCCGTTTGAAGAACTCAAATCCTCATCAAACCACTGGAAACGAGACGTACATTTATAAGTCTCTGCTTCCAAGACCTGGCAGCTCGCCTGGTGTTCGAACTGATCATCCTCGCACAGGAAGTTGTCGCAAAAAGAGCAGCGGAAAATGCGTCCACCTGTACGTCACACAAGCAAACGGGATTTGATGGGTTTCTCTGACAACATTAAAGCGCTTTACAGACTGGACACGAACGCTTGCTCTTTACCGTGTTCCCAAACGCTGCGGTCGCATTCGATGCAGTCTGCGTCACACAGAGGACAGGAGCAGGCGTGGGTGCTCAAGCACTTCTTCCCATGACACACCCAGGCCTCGCAGAAGTCACAGATGGCTCCCTGGTGGAAACAAACAGCGCGTTATCTACAAAGACACACATTCACAATCAAAGAAAACAGATAAGAGCTGCATCTGGGTTCGCTCTGCCAGAGAGCAGTTATCATGTTTAGGTATGAAACCGCTTACAACGATTCAAATTATTATGAGAAAGTGAGAAAAATAAGTTTCTAATGATTACAATTAACAGACCATAATCATAAGGGTGAATCACTTTATGCACACACACAGACACACACTTTAAAAGGTTAAGTGAAAACAACTTTCTGGTATTTTAAATGATTATAAGTGAAATGATTATATATAATTATTCTACAGGCTGTTGAATGCTTGATTCTGATTGGTCGGCGAACGTTCTAAGGTGTGCAATTATCTTCGGGGAAACGCTCGGCTAAAGTAGTTCCAGGCGAGTCTTGACCGCATTACAGGTCATATTACTTCGCCAAAAGATTTCAGTTATTTCAAAGGACTTTACAGACCCAGAACGACACTGACCGAGCAAATAAATATAATAAACAATAGGATCAAAATGACAAATTATTTGTAGGGGGGACAGGTACAGTATATTATTTTGAACTAAAATTCGTTTTAGAATTAAATTGTAGGCTACATAAATGGGTTAAGCAAAACAAATGTGTTTATGTCTGAGAACCTTTTAACCCTCTGGGGTCCTTCATTTCAGAGTCACACTCAGGACCTTCGGGTCCAAATGGGCCGGAAGGGTGGGATTAATATTTATTAAAAAAAATCATTTTTTTTTTTTTACTTGTTTTTTATAATATTTTTTCTTTTCTTTTTTGGTGTTTTGAGAATTTCAAAAATAAAAATGATTTATAATTAATATTAATGCAATAGTTATGACCCATTTTTCCCCCATTGAATATAATAGAAATGTAAAAAAAAAAATTTTTTTTTTTTAAAGCTGTATTTCATTTTAGAGTCAAGCCTAGGCCTCATGAAAGCAATTTTTGAAATGAGATGGATGCCATCTGGTGGACAAACTGAGCATTTTAAAAATTCAAAACCCATATGTAATCTGAATGTATTAGTGTGTATGTGTATAAAAGTGTGTTTGTGTGTGTGTGTGTGTGGATGTGTCTGTTTTGCACTCTTGATGTTTTATAGATTCACCCCTTCACTGTTGTGTGCTTTTTTTCTGGATCGTGGCTGATTTGTAGTTTGTACGCACAAAATAACTCTGTATTTTCACATTTTTGCCAATTTCCCATTCATTTCCTATGCGGGTCCATTTGGACCCGAAGGTCCTGAGTGTGACTATTTTTTTTACAACCACTTAGACTATTCAAATCCTGTCCCCAATTTTTTGGGGTGTTCATATGCCAAGTACCAACAAAGTCACCAAATTTCGGACCATTCCGATACAGCAATGATTTTAAAAAAAAAATATTTAAATGCTTCGGGTCCATTTGGGCCGAAGGACCCCAGAGGGTTAAACACATACGAACCTGAAATGACACATACTGTGTGTTAGGCTACAGTAAAATTTTTTGAGTGTCCCTTATTTTCCTGTAAAGAACCACGATTGTCCCGCATTTTTCTTTTCTGAAGTTGGCAACCTTAGTTTTACTTGAAAGAGCTCAAATCAAATGCCTGTGTCTTCAGGTTCTTCCATTGTTTTAAGCGTTTACACAATGGCAAAATACTTTCTTTTCTTTCTGAAATAACAAGAAAAAAGAAAGCTGAGAAGCAGAGAGCTGAAAAGGTGTCCTCTGCTCATATTCAGTAACCCCAAAGAGGATTTGGAAAATTGAAGTAGGGTTAATAAATAATTTCACTGTAGTAGACAACAAAATAATTTAAATGACAAACACAAATCTTATGCGTCACTATAAATGAATACACATTCCCTCAAAAATGTAACAGAAATCTATTTAAATCGCATAGAAATGTGCCCTTTTCATGCATAACACCCGGAGAAAGCTACTGGTTAGCGTTCCCATGCATTTCAGTGATGGTTGCTTGGATTCCTGTCATTTCTAGCGGAACGTGTGTGAAATCTGTGAGGATGTTTAAGGTGATGTTCACACTTACCACCATGCCCATTCCAGTGCTGTGAACGCCGGGGTGTTTTATGACACAGTCTGAAGACTTCATACATTTCGTTTTGCCTTTAAATAAAGAAACATACAATAGAACATTTGAATTTCTTAATTTCATATAGATGTACTGCTGCTTTCTGTGTAACGCACAATTCGTGATTGATCTCAAGCTGTAACAAACTGAGAGCCACAGTTAAAACATTTTTGTAGGATATCCTCCCTTTTTGGGGAATATGATCATTTCCCCTGACATCTGTTTTTTTTTCCAGATTAAGTTTGAAAAAACACCGGAGAGGCGGCAACTGAGCAACGTTTGCCAGGAAAATGAGGGTCACTTATCATGAGGGTGAAGTGTGTTTTTGGGATTCAAAAGGAGGAGGTCCATCTCACCACACTGCGCACACGTGGGAAGCTTCTGCACTGAAGAACAGAAATAGCAGAAGGCTCGGTTCTTTTGCCGCCTGGGAAACAGAAAAGAATATTATGTAAGGCTTATCAGTTTATAAGGTTTACATGTGAAAGGTAAAGTAACAATTCTGACTGTGAGCGGAAATCACAAATGAGTCACATTACCTTTGACACTTATCACACTCCTAAAAAGACAGATGAGAAAAAAGTGAGGTCAGTGCATTAATGTACCAACTGAAAAAGCAACTTGCAGCAAAATTGAAACATGTTGAAAACAGCCTGGTCAAAAATGCCAAAATATTCCTGTAGGTTACATCCGAGTTTTAATAGAAATCCCCAAAGGACCTTAATGTAATTTACTGATAGTATAGAGCTCATGAAACCTGTCCATAACATGTCTGGGTCATATCTCACAAAAGAAAAAAATATTTGCATAAAAAAATCTAAAGTCTATTTTAATACCTATCAGATTTTTTTCACAATCTGGGCCAAACTTTATGTGGCAGTGTTTTTGAGGTGTTTTCGTGCTCGTCTAGGCAACACTATCTGGGTCGAGAACACAACAGTAACCGTCCTGTCTCCCTCTTCACCGTAAATACGTTCTGGATACTTTTTAAGTGCATCATTCTGTATCCAATCATTTGGCCGGATCCCGTGATTTCCTCAGATTTAATAACCACTAATGGTGGTTGAGGAGAGATTCTCTGATATGATTGTAAAGCGCTTTGAGTGTAGGCCTAGTAGACATATGAAAGCGCTATATAAATGCCTCATTCATTCATAAAGCTGGATCTCTCCATCCAGTCTAAAAAGTGTTTTCCGGGTTGGTTTTCCTATAGGCTAAAGTCTATTCCGGCGCAGTATATTTTATAACGTCCTATAATGGTAGCCTAATGCTGGTAGATTGGCACCTGTTGAATTTCCTTTTGTTGAAACAAAACACACACACAAACACACACAGTGTGAAACACTCGCTATGGACCATTATGAATGCCTGTGTGTGCGGCAATGTGAAACAATGGCAAGCACACACGCAACTTCTACGAAAGACTGTATTCTTGAAATCTCGAAATGCTTCGACTATAATCTCCTCGAAATGCTTCGACTTTAATCTCGAAATGCTAGTTTTTTTTAAGTTTTTTTACAGATTTTTTTTTTTTACGTTGCGGTTCAGGGCTTCCGTATTTTCCTTCCAATTCTCATTATAGCAATGGAAAAAAAATATATTATTCACATTACTGTAATGTGATGAAAAAAATATTCACCCAGTACTGGTTCGTACTGCATTTAAAATCGGTATGAAACGGAAGTTGCAATCATCTTAAGGGCTTTTCACACTGAACGCGGTTAGGGACGCTCTTGAATCGAAACAATAGATCCCCGTGGAGCTATTCACACCGGGCACGATCAATCGTGCCGCGACAAAGTGAGATTTTGTGTTTGTTTTTCCCTCGTCCAATTAGATTTGAGCTTTAGATCACGTGCCCGGAGCCGCTGCTGTTGCACAAAAGCGTGAGATTAATGGCGCTGTTTTAAAAAACAAGTGTAAAAACACCAAATGTATTCCAGATGAGAGAAGAAAATGGGTGTGAAGTTCTTGTTATCATTGGTTTCTGAGAACAGATATAGTCTCACATGTTCACTTCATATTTCTTTATGCAGAACATAATTTCTATTCATTTTCCACTGAATTATGTGATCTGAAGAGTGCGAGACAGTGTAAAGAACACGTATCATATGCACCCGCGTTATGAGTCAAGAGAATTTTTTCAATCTAGATCTGTCAATCATTTTCCAGGATCATAACCGCTGCGCTTGCCGATGCCAAATAGACATACGATTACGACAATATATGTTCTGTATGTTTTTCATGCGGCTCAGGGTATTTCTAGAACAATAAAGGATGTTTACATGAGAAATGCTAAGCAGGTGTAGTGAATTCAGTCCATTATAAAACACTACAATATGTATGTCTTCCCAATGCCCATTAGGTTAGGGCGGGACTTGAATTTGTCAATGGGGAATTGATTGGATGGCTGTGGTTTGCTATTTGTGGATCTTATGTGAGTGACAGGTTGCTTCACCCTCACGGCACAAGTACTGTCAATATATATTTCATGGTGACTTTAATTTATGCCAATTTAAATAAAATAAACAACATTATAACAGTATTTTTACCAAGAAACATATCGTTATCATAGCATAATTGCCTAAGTCATGTTTATTTGAAATATGTCTAAGGCAATTATGCTATGAGGCTTTTTAAATACAACATTAATGAGAATTTGTATGGGAGGGTGTGCTTGATAATGATGTAAATAATAAGGATCTTAAATAAGCAAAATATCACTTTCTATTGGAAAACAAAACACACAAAGTCAAATTCAAAAGTAAATGTTTTACGTTTAAAAAAAAGAGAGAGAATGAGAACTGGAATTACTTGTAAGCTTTTTTGAAATATTTTCATAAAAATATTTCTTCAAACAATTTCATTTGGTAATCTGTCAATGCAGTGTGAGATCATGATGACTCTCTCTCTCTCTCACCATGGTTCCATTACATGGGTGTTTGGCCACATCAATAGCCTCTCTATTGGCCCGACTCTGTTTCTCTCGCTCCTTTCGGCTCTCGGCCTTTTTACGGGCACCAGTCTTCTTCTTAGGCATCTTTCACCTTCAATATCAAAGGCAGAATGCAAATATGACACATTAACTCGAAACAAGATGAAACATATTGCGATTTCCTGTTGATTCCGCGTTGCTTTTTTCCACTGAACTTACATGAGGGACCTGACACCTCATTAAATTATCTTAACATCTCAACACTTATTCAAACATCTCAGCTTAACAGTCACTTTCACATTTTTATTTACAGTTCAACGTAAATGCCATCCATCCTGTCGTATGAAAAACTTACCGGGATAAAGGTTTATTCGCGTTGAAAACAGGCAGATGATCACAGCTGATCCCGGTGCGTGTGTAACAGTAAATCGTCCGGCAGGAAGCTTAAGGATGCGCTGTTATCAGTTCCACAAACATTTACTAACAGGCGTCTTTTGCGCGGCGCGAGTTGTTATAGATTGTAATATAATATAGTTATATCCTATTAAAATATGTATATATATATATATTAAACCCCATATTTTCTATTTATTTAGAAGAATTACAGGAGATGCAGTCCCGCTCCATCACAGAGGAGGGCAACGAGTCTATTCTGCGCTGTCCGTAACGGAGCGGTTGCCAGATACTCTAGCAAATCGCTTCTGGATTATTACAAAGTTTGAAACATTGCCTCTGTTAAATACATGATGATAACTAAAGTAAGAGAAGAGTCCAAGATTGCATATAGTTTACATAAAAATAAGACTTTCAAATGATATGTAAAGAAGCTTAATTCAATGTTTACGGAACATTTATTTAAGCAGTAGCTATATCTAAAAAAAAAAATGTAACTTCTAAATCTGCTAAGACTGCTTTATTTTCTAATAGCCGATTATTTTATAATATTTATATTTTCATATTATTGCACTGTTGTTTTTATATAATATGTTATTTAATTAAATAAAACGCAAAGATGCTGTATTTGATTGATCAGCAATTTCCATCTTGTGTTCTACCTTTGTGTTCTGTTGCATTAATATTCAAAAATATTATCTGCATGCATTGACACCATTATATGAGAACTGAGCTGGAAGATGACCACTGTTTTCTCCAGAGCGGCTGTATAGATAAATTAACTAAATTAATAACTATTTTTTTTACAACAGAAATGAAACCATCACTGAACTTACTTAAGCTCGACTATGACACTATTTTCTTCTAGATCTGCTGTAGAGCGGAAACAAACTTTGTTGTATTATTTTCCTGTTATCACTGTAAAGCTGCTTTGAAACAATTTGTATTGTAAAAAGCGCTATAAATCAAGGTGACTTGACTTGTTGTGTTGATTCCGGGCATTTTTTAAAATATTTTTATTGTTGTTGTTGTTATATTGAATTACAATATACACGCTTTGAGTTCTCTATTGCTTCATATTGAATTATATCTTGCGTCATTCTCCAACAACTGCATGATTTCTCTACAGTGTAGGTTTAGTAATAATATCTGGCAACCTCGATGTCCGTCACACAGGCGCAAATGCTGCTGGGTGAATTGACATGATGGTGGACTGCATCTATAAGCTACTTTTAAAGGACGACGGCGTTGGACAGAGAGATGTTTCGATCTGACGGCCCTCTAGTTGTGTTGTGGGGTTGCAAAGTGATGCCGCACTCAAGAATCATCATATACTGAAAAAGAAGTGGGATAAAGACGTTCCCCAGCTTGAAAACGGCTTGTTTGGGATCATTTCTGAAAACATGGCAATGTCCCTAAACCAAGCCTGCAGGAGTCTTGCCCTGTCTACGTGGCTGCTGTCCTTTTGCTTCGTGCATTTGCTGTGTTTGGACTTCACAGTGGCAGAGAAAGAGGAATGGTACACTGCTTTCGTCAACATCACTTACCTGGACCCGGTGACATCTCAAATGAAGACAGACAAGAGTGAATGTGGCAGATATGGGGAGCACTCTCCTAAAAGAGATGCCAGGGGGTTTGTGTTTATGCCATCTCATCTGCTGGACAGACAGGCATGTGACAGTAACACTAAATTTGCCCTTCCCCATCCCAACATCCCGTGGATAGCACTGATATCCAGAGGAAACTGTACCTACAGGGAGAAGATCCGACATGCTGCTGCTCTCAATGCATCTGCTGTGGTCATTTTCAATGTGGGCTTCAGCAACTCTAATGACACCATTACTATGCCACATCACGGTAAGAGGACACAACTCTCTTTTCTTCTGCATTTGCTCTCCAATGGAATTTTGCCCATTAACTTATGCTAAAAGTACAAGTTGTGCACTGTATCCCAAGTTTATGAGGCCACTTTCATTAATAAAGATCAACTTTATGTCCCACTTAAAGGGTTAGTTCACCCCCCAAAAAAAAAAAAAATTCTCATTAATTACTTACCCCCGTGTCCGTTAGACTTTTGTTCATCTTCAGAACGCAAAAGAAGATCTTTTTGATGAAATCTGAGAGATTTCTGTCCCTCCATTGACAGTCTACGCAACTACCACTTTGACGCTTCAAAAAAAGTTCATAAAGCGATCGTAAAACTAATCCATATGAATTGATGGGTTTAGTCCAAATTTTCTGAAGAGACTTGATCACTTTATATGACAAACAGATTTAATTGAGGCTTTTATCCACATATAAACATTGATCAGCAAACATAAACAGAAGCTCAAATGTGCTTCGTAAAACACGAATGAACCTCGTTGGTTCTCACACGTCAAGCGAACATTCTTGAGCTTCCGTTTATCGTAACTGATGGGCCTTAAAGCTCTTGCCTGATCATAACCCTTTTTTTCCAGATATTACTCTGACCTTTTCTCTTTTGTAATGTCTCTCAGCCATCTCTCTTTCTACAGTCTTTCTTCAAATCTTGCTAACACTCTTCTCCCCCATCATGAGTGGATTTGCCCCCTAGCCCTACTGCTGATTGGTTCATTCTCTCCTCTCATTGGACACGCCCCCTTCTGTCGATTGGCTCACGCTCTCTTTCCCTATCATGAGTGGACACGCCCCTTACCGCTGATTGGCTACAAGTGTGTTGTGCTGCTCAGTCCGATCCACTTTCATCAGTGTCATGAAGAGCAACAGTGTTCAGACAGAATATTCTGCATATGACGATTAAAGGGATAGTTCACTTTGAAATAAATTTTTGGTATGTTTTAGCTTACCTCAAGGGCATCCACGATGTAGGTGTCTTTGTTTCCGCAGAAGTTTCAATTTTGATATTTTTAGGTCAAACCGTTCTTGTCTGTCAGTCATATAATGCAGGTCTATGGTCACCACCTCAAAGAGCATGCACAGAGAAGTCCAAATTAAACATGATTTAATGACTCGTAAATGTAAGTACACATTGATGGCCTAAGACACGAAACGAGCGGTTTCTGTGAGAAAACGAACAGTATTTATATCGTTTTTACCTCTTGTAACGCACAGACCGAAGCGCCCGCGCCCTCAGATCACTTGGACGTGGCTGTGGTTACAAGAGGTAAAAACGATATAAATACTGTTCGTTTTCTCACACAAACCGCTCGACTTCTCTGTGCATGCTCTTTGAGGTGGTGACCATAGACCTGCATTATATGACTGACAGACAAGAACGGTTAGACCTAAAAATATAAAAATTGAAACTTCTGCGGAAACAAAGACACCTACATCGTGGATGCCCTTGAGGTAAGCTAAAACATACCAAAAATTTATTTCAAAGTGAACTATCCCTTTAAAGCAGATATATGCCTTGTTTAGGTTACAGGGATAGTTCATCATTATTATCCTCACCCTTAACCTTATTATAACCCTCTGGTTTTCTTTACAACATCCCATAAGCCTCTCAACAGAACTCTTTTTCACCTCTATTCAGTCAGTGTATCTCTTTTTATAAGTTTATTTAAAATGTAAACATTTAATGGATACATTTTCAATGTTTGCATAATAATGTCATCCTTAGAAACAATATTTGCAACTGGGAAGTCCTTCCAAATTCGAAGAGAGCTGATGCCAAAAGTTGCAGAAACCCTCTATTCTCTCTTCCCAGTCTATAAAATGTTTATTTTCGTGCCAAAATTGACTTCATCACTTCACAAAAATACTTCATTTTATTTTTGGAGTAATGAAAATGAGCAACATTGTGGAAATCATCTGAGAAACTCTTTTGCCCATGAGCATTACACGTACATCAGGGATGAACACATCTGGATTCTTCAACTTTGGCTTGAGATGTTACTGTTTCACATACTTGAACAACAGCCTAAACACACCATCTGGCTTTGTTACAGTTTAGTCCAGCTGTTCTGATTTTAAGGAGGAAATGACAAACAGAGGCAAACAGGAAGTTATGAGTCCAGAGAGATGTGTGAAGTCTTCAGTTTCATATGATAAATGTTAGGTGATGCTACACGTGTCCTGCAGACTTTAACAGAATGGTACAGAAGACATACATTGAAAAACTGCCCCTCTTCAAACAAGCAAAACGCACTGTTTAAATGCAAAAATATCCATCCATCTATCCATCCATCCGTCTGTCTGTCTGTCTATCCATCCATCCATCTAATCATCTATCCATGATCTAACCACTAAAAACATTACAAAGGATCATGAAAACAGACAGAATTGCCCAGAAAAGCATTATTAAGACAATTTAATGCATGTATTCAAATTCACGCTATTCATGCTATAATTCATTTTTTTCTTTCCTAATTTTAGAATTTTTTGTGCTGATATGAATACTGTATATTGGATGGATGGATAGACGGACAGATAGATAAATGGATAGAGGGTTAGATGGATGGATGGACTGACAGACAGACATACAGATAGATGGATAGATAGAGGGTTGGATGGATGGATGGATAGACTGACAGACAGACGGATGGATGGACGGATGGATGGATAGATGATTAGATGGATGGATGGATGGATAGATAGATGACTAGATGGATGGATAGATAGACTGACAGACGGATGGATGGATGGATGATGGATGGATAGACAGACGGATAGATGGATGGATGATGGATGGATAGACAGACAGACGGATAGATGGATGGATGATAGATGATCAGATGGATGGATGAATGGCGGGACGGATGGATGGATGGATAGATGATAAGATGGATGGATGGATGGAGAGACTGACTGACAGATGGATGGATGATTGGATGGATAGACAGACAGACGGATGGATAGATGGATTGATAGATGATTAGTTGGAGGATGGATGGATGGATAGATAGACTGACAGACAGATGGATGGATGATTGGATGGCTGTTAAATGATTGGATGGATGGATGGATGGATGGATGGATGGATAGATAGACTGACAGACAGATGGATGGATGTTGAATGAATGGATGGATGGACGGATGGATGGATGGATAGGTAGATGATGGATGGACGGATGGATGGATGGATAGGTAGATGATGGACGGACGGATGGATGGATGGATAGGTAGATGATGGATGGACGGATGGATGGATGGATAGGTAGATGATGGATGGACGGATGGATGGATGGATAGGTAGATGATGGATGGACGGACGGATGGATGGATAGACGGATGGATGGATGTACAGATGGATGGATGGATGGATGGATGGACGGATGGATGGATGGATAGGTAGATGATGGATGGACGGATGGATGGATGGACGGACGGACGGATGGATGGATTGACGGATGGATGGATGGACAGATGGATGGATGGATGGATGGATGGATAGGTAGATGCTTAAATTCTACTGATAAAGTTGGTTTACAAGCTGCTTATTTAAAAAAAATCTAAATCCATGAAATGATCTCATGATGGAACCTCCTTCTATATATGAAGCGCCAGACAGATTCTGTGTACCACCTTTCCTTCTAAAAACTTGTGTAGATTTGACATTTAATGATGAGGATTGTGTTCGACAGTGCAGTGTTGGTGTGTTTGTGCGTTGTGAAGTGCGTCGTTCGTTGCCTCTAGCGCTTCCATTGAGTGAATCATTTGAGATTTGAACCCCAGGTCGTTCCTCCAGGTACGGGCGATGTGGTGGCGATCATGATTCCCGAGCCTAAAGGCCGTGAGATCGTGGCCCTGTTGGAGAAGAACGTAACGGTGGCCATGCACATCAGCATCGGCACGAGGAACCTGCAGAAGTACGTGAGCCGCACCTCTGTGGTGTTCGTCTCCATCTCCTTCATCGTCCTGATGATCATCTCTCTCGCGTGGCTGGTCTTCTACTACATCCAGAGGTTTCGCTACGCCAACGCCCGAGACCGCAACCAGGTGCTGTAGAGCCACGCCAACAACACAGCCTTTCCTTTACACCACAAACCTTAAAGGGAGACATTTCAGTATAGCATGATTCATGTCTTTTGCAGAGGCGACTGGGTGACGCTGCGAAAAAGGCCTTAAGCAAGTTACAAGTACGGACCATCAGGAAGGGGGACAAGGTTTGGTTTGGTTTTCTCTTCAGACTTCTTGGTATTTGAGGACTGTGAAACGTTTCAAGCACTTTATTCAATGCAATAATGCGATAATTATAATCCAAAAACTCATTGTCCTTCCAAGTTAGTCTTTTCTTACAAAAAAACATCATTTATCAATATGATCAAAGAACGTTTTTTTAGTTTAATGTTTTTGAAGTAAGTCTCTTCTGCTCACCAAGGCTGCGTTTATTTGATACAGTAAAAACTGTAATATTGTGAAATATTGTTTCAATTTAAAATAGCTGTTTTCTATGTGAATATATTGTAAAATGTAAGTTATTCCTGTGATCAAAGCTGAATTTTCAGCATCATTACTCCAGTCTTCAGTGTCACATGATCCTTCAGAAATCACTTTAATATGATGATTTGATGCTCAAGAAACATTTCTGATTATTATCAAGGTTAAAAACAGTTGTGCTGATTAATATTTTTGTAGAAACTGATTGTTTCGAGATTCTTTGATGAATAGAAAGCCCAAAAAAACAGCATTTATTTGAAATTTAAATTGTTTGTAACATTATAAATTACTATACTGTCACTTTTGATCAATTTAATGCATCCTTGCTTAATAAAAGTATTTAAAAAAACATCATACTGGCCTCAAATTTTTGAACACCGGTATAAAACGTATTGTTATGATTCAAAATTCTTATTGCAAGAATCACGTTTGAAGAGAAAATGATAAAAGCTTATATAAAACAAAAAGCAACTCTCCAATGACGCTTCCGATGTGTGACGTTTCACCATGTCTTTTTATGGAGTATCTTTGATCTGCTGTCTGAATCCTGTCCTGTAACACCCATCTGTGATTCATTCACATTAGACGCGCTTTATGACTGTATGTTCCCGTCTGTCTAATGGAGATTTCAGGGAAGTGTACACATAAAGTGCTCACGTGCGGTTACTCACTACATTTATCGGCCCCCTGTTTCTAGGAAACCGAGTCGGACTTTGACAACTGCGCAGTGTGTATCGAAGACTACAAACCTAATGACGTCGTCAGGATTCTGCCGTGTCGGTAAGATTTCAGGCAAACATAAAAGTATTATGAAATGATGAAGTCTGATTCTGCTTAAAACTATGCATGATGCATTATTAGTGTAGGTAGCGTTACTTGGCCGTATTGAAGTTCAACCAAAAACTATTGAACTAAAACCATCATCTTTTAATCTGTACAACTTTAAGTTGCCAATAGTGCAGCATCGATATGAACATTACCATGCCAAAGCATTGCGTACAATGTGTCTAATAATTGTAATAATAATAACTGTGGTAATAATTAACGTGACTTTTGCATGAATTAGTTTGTTACCTTATGTTAGTTTTTACACAACAGTTTAAGGATGTAACTGTTTTGCTCAAATAGCCAATGATGCAAAGACAAATTTAAAACCGTTTTAACGCATTAAATGCATAAAAGAGCTCTTTTACAAAGTATTGATTTTGTTTTTAAGGTCTACTAGAATGTTTCCATGCTTGAATGTTTTAAAAAACACAGTTTTTCACACATTCTCCATTGTTGCAGCCCCTCTCTTCCCAGTCTGTCAGTAACGCTCGGTTTAGTTCCTGTCTCTATGAAGCCCCTCCTTCTGAAAAGCACACTGTGCTCTGATTGGTTGGCTGGACCAGTGTGTTGTGATTGGTCAACTCTAACAAACCCCGCCCATTTATTTAGCATGCCTTGGGCGGGAATTATTTAAATGAGGAATATTGTGACGTGCTCCCGACAGGAAACTCAAGACTACAATGGAGGCGTTTCAGGGAGTTCAGAAACAGTGACACTGATATAGAGAATAACTCCCGTCCCGTCAGAGGGACTTTTAGACTTTTCAGACCTTTTTCATGCTCAAACAGCAACATCACACACTAAAGAAAGATGAACATTAAAAAAAAAACATAATAGTTCCTCTTTCAAATGTGTTTGAAAAGTGTTAAACATGTTTTTCGGGTCTTTTTGAGTAAGTAACTGTGCTGTTATTGTCAGTCACGTCTTCCATAAGACCTGTGTGGACCCTTGGCTTCAGGACCACAGAACCTGTCCCATGTGCAAAATGAACATCCTTAAAGCCCTGGGCATCCCGGTAAGAGTCGAAGCTTGCCATGGCCTTTACATATGACCTTGAGTTTTGCTCGAAATAAGCTGGAATTTTCCGTTCAAACAGCCCAATACAGACTGTTCTGATGACATGCCTCCTGATTATGAGATGTCCATCAGCGGGCCGCCCACCAATCTTGTGACGGGGGCGAGTGAGGTCTCCGTGGGCGAGAGCTCGGTGGTCCTGGACCCAGCGCTCAGAACAACGGGCCTGTCACACATTTACCTCGAGATGGACTCGTTCCCGTTCCCGCCGGCCGGAGAGAGCCACCACATCGCCAGCAGTGAGTATATGGATGACCCAGCGGGTGTGTGTCTTACATTACTCCGACCAATCTTGACATAAACATTTTCTGGAGAAAATAAGTTAAGTAATTATTCATGAATATTATATTTGAGTAATTATAAATGAATTCGTGACATACACTACCGTTCAAAAGTTTTTTATTTGAACAAAAATAATAGTTATATTGTGAAATATTATTACAATTTAAAATAAGGTTTCTATTGTAATAATATATATTAAAATGTAATTTATTCCAGTGATCAAAGCTGAATTTTCAGCATCATTACTGAGGATTTTTGGATGAATAAACAGTTCAATCAATCTTTATAACATTATAAATGTCTTTAATATCAATTTTGATCAATTTAATGCAACCTTGCTGAATAAAATTGTTAATTTCTTTCAAAAAGTGTACTGTCCCCAAACTTTTGAAAGGTAGTGCATCCTAAATATTGATAAATCACAGTTCTCACGGTCAAAGAAAACCTTGAAATATTAGGACATTTTAAAATGGTGATTTCCAGGGCTGGGAAATTTCTAAACGTTTTTTTTTATACTAAATGAATTTAGAATTGCTATTTTGACGATGCAATCTGTATACAATTATTTTTAAAAATCCTTACAACTGGACAATTTATAGAAGATCATTATTAAAAAAAATTGGGAATATATATATTTAAAAAAAAAAAAAAATTATGAAACTCAAAAGAGGGTCTATCAAAATATGGAAAATGTCCTAATAAAGAAATGTTTCCATATAATGCATAATGGTTCTGTCTAAAAGGAATTTTAATTCCGACATGAAATCTCACGTTGACCTCCACATCTCTTCGATCTGGATTTGATTATTTGAGTCTGTTCCAGTGGTCTTCTGTGTGATCTACTTTCAGCTCTCTTATATTTAGGTCATTGGGTTTTTTTTTGGTACCGTTTGGCAAATAAAAGCACAGCCTGTCCTGGTTCTCCATCGCAGCTCTAGTCAGATTAATAGACTAGATTAGTTTCTGCTCACAAGCACTGCAAATAAGTCCATCAAGCCTCAGAAAGGACAAAAAACACCATGAAAGTAATCTATATGAATCTTCCAAGCCATTAGTCCTCCACCGAAGCTCTGAAATCTCATTCACGTTTTTATTCAAAATTCAAAAATGACGCATCACACTAGATTTGGCGCCAAAACGGCATTTGTAATGTTCTTTGTTGTTTCAGGTGAGCACCAGCCCTCCATGAGCAACGATTCAGACACCTCACTCATCATGCCAGTGGAGCTCGTCCCGTCCGAGGTAGAGCTCCAGTCCGATCCAGAGCAGGACGATGTGAAGTCCTGAAGATTACTGAAGCCTCTTGGTGCCATGAACGGAGCAGGAATGCAGCGGGACGGTAAAAGAGCACGAGAATAGCAGCACAGGTGTGCGACCTCCTTGTTTTGACCTCATTGACACCACTATAAAAACAGCTTGCCTGTCCTCGTCCTCTTGGCTTTAGCAACCTCATGGCGTCTACTGTCCGGAGCTTGACTAGAAAAGCCACATGGTCCTAAGAGGGATGTTTTCGCTTTTACTTTTGGGAAAATTTGACTGTTTCAACTTCCCTATGGGATCACTGCCAGTACAAACCAGTATATTCCAAAATCAATAGATGTAATGCATCGAGGAATGTGGCCTACATTTGCTTTGAGTGTCTAAAGCGTTTAGCATGTGCTCTAACCGGTGTCGTCTCACAGACGCTATTTGTGCTTATCGTACGCGGGACGCTATTTTTGCATTGTGACGACATGATCTTCCCTATGAAGTAGAACCCAGTTTATGATATGGTGAGTGTTTTAGCAGCCGTATCCAGAGAGGCAGGGCTTGTATGTCATAATGCCACAAAAGCACAGTTAAAGCACATTCTTTCCACTAGTTTTGACAAAGTATTGTCATCTATAGAGTCTCAGGCCGCATGCACACTGCTGAATAAAGTGTCACTCCGGTTTGGAGTGCTTAAAGGGATAGTTCACCCAAAATTGAAAATTAGCCCATGATTCACTCACCCTCAAGCCATCCTAGGTGTATATGACTATCTTTCAGACGAACACTTTCAGACGAGTTATATTTAAAAATATCCTGGCTCTTCCGAGCTTTATAATGGGAGTGAATGGGGGGTGAGATTTTGAAGCCCAAAAAAGTGCATCCATCCATCATAAAAATAATCCATACGTCTCCAGGGGGTTATTAAAGGCCTTCTGAAGCGAAGCCATGCGTTTGTGTAAGAAAAATATCCATATTTAAAATGTTATTAGTTATAATAACTAGCTTCCTGCAGACAGCCAAACGTAATAAAAATGCCCCCAAAAACCAAGATATGGCGCAAAAAAAGTGCCGTTTTCCCGAATATAAGCACGTTTGCAAATGTGATATTGATTTTATACAATTCAATAAACAAGAAGTTAATATGCTATTAGGTGACTTACATTTTATACACCATATTGTCTGTTTTTCCTCTATTTTTCCAACGAAAATAGTTCCAAACACTAGAGCCATTGCGCGTCACAGAGCAACACAGTTTCAGTTTGGTTACTGAACGAATCCGAGTTTTTGAACGAATCGTTCTAATTGAATGACTCGACGACTCGCTCGCTGTGTCCGAAATCGAATACTTCCCTACTAAATAGCATGTGAAAAACAATACGCCAAAAGAGTAGTATGTCCGAATACACACAGAGGAAACTCGAAAAAGTTCATTTATTTCAGTTATTCAACTTAAAAGGAGAAACTAATATATTATATCGACTCATTACATGCAGAGTGAGATATTTCAAGCCTTTATTTGTTATCATTTTGATGATTATGGCTTACAGCTTATGAAAACCCCAAATTCAAAATTAGATTATTGTGAAAAGGTTTTCATAAGCTGTAAGCCATAATCATCAAAATTATAACAAATAAAGGCTTGAAATATCTCACTCTGCATGTAATAAGTCGATATAAAAGTGAAACGGGTCGCTACTGGAATGGGGTAAACTAGTATTCGATTGTGAACACGGTCTCGGGGTCAACCATCATGAGGAGAAATTCACTCGCAATTAAATGCTAACTAGTGCAGTGTGCTATATTTAAATTTTTTTTTTTTTTTTAAGTTAGCCCCAGGTAAAAGGGAAGTGTGTACACAAGACTGGATTGCGATCTGACGGCTGAATTGGGCCGAACCGTTCAACTGTACGCGTTTGTTAAAAAAACTTGTTCTTTGTCATTATTTTTGCTCTTTTGTTTGGTTGCTGCAGAAATCGCACATGCAACTTTTATGAGGAAGCAGGAAAAGCACTTTGCTCAAATATCAGCTGCTCACGACACTGAAGGATAGTTAACCATCTGTTTTAAATGACCGTTTCTTTTTATCATTCACAATGGGAAAGCGAAAGACTATTGAATGGTTATTTTGATATCAAAGGGTTTATTTTTCTAAAAAAAAAAAAAGACAAAAGAAAAAACAAAGGGCATCGTACAGTGCGTGAAGATAAACATTGTTGAAACACCCCTTCTAAATATTTATGTTTTATTATTATACCTATTATTGTTTCACTCAATAGTTTTCCCATTATATACAGTATATCAATATTGTGATCATGTAGCCTGGTAATGTTGAATACAGACTGGCTGTTTACAGTGTGTCTGTGTACCAGCCAACTTTCTTTCTGTTCTTTATTAATATTCTTTTATTTGAATTATTAAAGCAATTGCATTAATGATTTTTCAACTAATTATTATTAACTTCATTAGGTATAAAGCCGTTTTTGTTCTGGTGTTGAAATATTTTTCTCAATGAGAGAGACTGTGTCTCAAATGTCCTTCCCCAGTTAAACGCCCTCATACCCAGAATGCACTCCTGCGGTCAGATGGGCTGATGAATGTTCAGCACACTAAACCAAAGCTTCAGCGTATATGTTTCTTGTGTCAGGATAGGTGGATATGGCGTGTACTATTGTAATGAATGATCATCATGATGGATGTAAACGTGACTGAACTGGGATCAGTCGTAGAGCTGTGGGAACAGCGCTGGGGTCTGTGATCCTGATATTCATATATATTTAGTAATATTTAACGTAAAGGCTTGTGCAGTGTTATGCACATCGGTCGGCCAAAAAGCACATGAGATTTCCCGGAGATCTGCAGATTTATTTTATTGTAACTTTAGTCTGGCATGAATAAAACTGTTGTTTAGAGGAATTTTATGAGATTAGATGATTACCCACCCATGATAGTGTGTTTTCTTTCAATGAAATCTGTGGTTGATATCAGTCTAGGAATCATTTTGTGAGTCCATTAAAGCAGTCACATCATGTATTTTGTTATTTATTTTTCTTCCTTAGGGAATTCATTTACAATATTTGTGTCCTGTCCGTGCCTTCAAGACTATGTAAACGGCCTCTTCACATATGAAAGGCTGCATTTGGACACGTTACTGAAACAGCTGGTGCTGAAATCTTGTTCAAAATGTTTTCATCAAGATGATCAAGGAAAATGATATTCCTTTTATGACCCCTTTATAGGAACTAATCTACATGTCTATGTGTTGTTGTAGGCCGAGTTGAACGACTGCTGTTTATTAATAAATAAATCAGACCTGAAAGCTTTGGTGTAAAGACTGATTTATCAAGCTCATATGTATATAATTTGTCTTTGGTTGATAACCTTCCCTAATTTATGAACACAATTGCACTGGATTTCTTTCTTGGTTTGCCATGAATGGTTTGGCAGTAAAATTACATGCTTTTTATTGGCAGAATGACACGATTAGAGAGAAACACAAATGATGTACAACTTAAGTGTGGGAAAACAGGAGGGGTGAACCTAACCAGACTATGTTAGTCTTGCGAAATAACAGATAAGATCAAGGTATAATAGCATCCAGGCCAAAAGAAAATACCTGCAGGCTTTGTTGCTTTGTTCAATAGTCTTATTTTAAAATGTTCTATTAATCAAAGAATCCAGGGGGGGAAAAACAACGTATTAAGTTTCCAGGAAAAAAATCGTATTACTTTCAACAAAAATATGAAGCAGCACAACTGTTTGCATCATTGATAATAATCAGAAATGTTTCTTGAGCATCAAATCAGCATATTAGAATGATTTCTGAAGGATCGTGTGACACTGAAGACTGAAATAGACTGAAATAGAAAACTTTTATTTTACATTGTAATAAAATTTCACAATACTACTGTTTTTACTGTGGTTTCTTTTTCAAACTTTTTTAACAATAGTGTATAAATAGTCCAAATGCAACATTTGATCAAATATCTAAAGTCAAGGTGGTGTGGATGTATATTAAAAGAAGCTGAATATGACTTCTTACTGAATAGATTGGAATTCATTTACATATTTTATTAATAATTATATCTTTTTTATATTATAAAGCATTAAGTTATGAAGCATCCAAGAACGGTTAGAAGAAGGGTCCAACTCCCTGACATTTAATTTGCTCTACTACAACACATGGTAAACCAGCCTGCTTCATTATTTAAAGGTGAAGTGTGTAAATCTAGTTAATCTTGCCGTTTAGTCGGCACAGAAATGACACGTCTCACATTTAATGACTAAATGGTTGCATAACTCCCATTTGTCTTCCTCTAATGCTGTTCGTCGGCGCAGAAAACAGCGTTGTGTTTCCAAGCAACAGTTAACATAAAGATGACAGACTGGACTGTATTTGTGTCAGCCGGCTGACATCTGGTGCGGGAGCCATTAAACACAATGACAAAGCTGTGTCGCTTGAAGATGTTTCCATCATATCGACGGATGAAAGGTGAGAATAATAAAAGAGACCCGGGTATGAATGCTGTCTGTCTTCACGTTTAGTTGCCAGACTTGAAACCCCCTTTTTTAGCAGAGACGTGAAAATGCACTATCCAAACTTAAATACAGTAGCCTAGTTGTAATTCATCGACGCTTTGTAGTTCAAGGTTGGTCTGTATTTAAAGAAGACACTTAACATTATTGCTGAACGCACTTCAAAAAATGAAAGTATAAAGTTACAGAAGTTTAGGTTTTTTCTGTAAAGCAAAGGTACTGTAGGCTAGTAAACACTTGGCAGAAGATCAAAGCCATATATCTAACCAATTTGTGTTCCAAATTTGAAGCTGATATCACAATAATTGAGTTTCCTGTGAGATTTTATATAGGCGCTCTACCAGAAATAGCCACCGGGTGACACCCACAATCCACAATCTTAGTTCTCCTGTCACAAATTAATACATATCTGTCACAATATCTCTTTTATCACAAAACAGTGGCCAAATATGTACCATGGAGTCTTGGAACTTGGACCTAGAAAAAGATTTGATTAAAAAACTGCAGTAGATTTTGTCAAATTTGAAACATGACACTAGGGGGAGAATTTAATAAACTTAAAACTT